CTCTCCAAAGCGGGGCACCCCTGGTACCCGCTTCCCGGTGCCCCTGGAAGAGCCAAGGGCCCTTTAGCACCTGGCGGTCCGTGGGTGTCAGGGTACCGGAGAGCAAACACCGGCCCGGCCGATCCGAGTGCAGGTGCCGGGGAGGCGGGTACGGGGCTCCGGGGACAAGGGGTGGACACGGGGCCGGGGCTCTCGGTGCCCCCGGTCCGGCTGCCCCGGGTTCAGCACCTTCCCGCTGAACAGCAGGAGCGTGGGGCACCCCCTGCCCTGCACCCTCTGTTTGGGGCAGTAGGACACCTCGGGGAAGGGGGGCGGGGGGGTGATGGTCTCCCCTTCCTCTTCCATCCGCCGCTCGCCTTTTACATGGACTCTTTTGGCCGTTGTGGGGAACTACCAAATACTCGGGTTCTGCCGCGTCCCGTAGGAATGAGCAGGAATTTCAGTAAATAAGGATGTAAGTGACCTGACAAAGAGCGCGGGGATGTTCCGCTCGGGGTGTGCTCTGCACGCAGGAGCAGCAGCGCCGGCACCGCTCGCCTCAGCCACCAAACACCGTGCGCTTTAAAGGCTCCTCGGGCTCTTTGAAGCAATGACCACCCCGGTATTTGTGGCTGCAGCATCAATCTTTGACCTGGAGTGGTTTATCTTCCATTAGTAAGCCTTTCTCTGCGCTGAACTGGTTAAGTTAGGGTCAAATCTGGTTCAATACCTTCTTGGCATGCTCAGAGGGCTGGCTTTAAACAGTGGCTGAGGCAGAGATGAGGCTGCCTTCCTGTGAGCTCGGCCCCCAGCGCCGCGGGGTGCTCTGCAGGTCTGGGGGTGCCTGTGCCGGGTAGGGCCGGTGGGCACGGGCACGGCACCGGAGCAGCGCCGGGGCTGGCACGCTCGGGTTGCCTTTTGTTGACTCTAAAAACACGGCAGGTTCTGGTGGGAAGCTGAGCGTGGCTGTGTGCTGGGGGGGTTGCACGCACACAGCCGCCGTTCCTGCTCCGTGGAAGGAAATCCCATCGGGATAGCAGGCTGTGGCGTGAAGGGACACGGTTTAAAATGAAAGGGCTCAAAGACAGAAAACAAACGGTGCTGAGGTGCGGAGCCTGGAATCCTGTGAGCACAGCATGTAAATGACTGGAGAGAGGCTTTAAGGCAGGCCCCGAGAAACTGAGCCTGCTGTAAAATAAGCAGGTTACCGATAGCCTCGCATCCGTCTGCGAGCTGTGGTTCTGGGAGTCACTTCCCCCCTGCCCTGATCCAGCTGCACTACAGGAGCTTGTTCTCCAGGCAGGAGCCACTGGAGAAGAAACCCTGCCTGGCGATGACAGCGCTGGGGTCAGAAGGTCCTGCTGGTGGTCCTGGATGTGCCAGTGATGCTCTGTGTGCGTGAGGCAGGCGGGGTGGCTGTGGGGAGCCAGGGCTGACAGCTCTGTAATAGGAAGGATCACCCTTTCCTGGCTCGGAGGGAAGTTGAGGCTCGGCAGACGCCTGCCCACGGTGCTCGAAGGCTGGGGAGTGGGAAGTGGGACAGAGCCACGGAGCACGAGTCCTGCTCCTGGCGGGGAGAGCTCACCGGCCCCTGCGGGTGCCTGCGGAGGCTGCCAGTGCTGGGCTGCAGATAAGGAGAGGAGCAGGGCCGTTGTTTTCCAAACCCTGCGCGGAGCCGGGAGCCCTGCTCCAACGCTTGGGTGTGGCCTGTGAATGCACCAGCAGGATCCATCCGACTTCCCCTGGCAGAAGAGGAGCCGCACGCACGCTGCTGACCCTTGATCGCTCGGTCCCGGGGACGCTGGAAACAAAGCGATGGGACCGTGCTGCGGGGTGAGGAGAGCGCTCCGGAGAGCTGGGGAGGCAGGAAGGAGCAGGGCAGCAGCGGCAGGGCTGGGGCTTGGGGTTCAGCTCCGGGCTGGCCCATTGGGGCGGCCGCTGTCGCTTCCATCCCTGCCATGAGTGCTGTGGAAGGGGGCAGAAGGCGGCGGGTCCCGAGCCTGGTGCTGGTAATGGATTGCGTTCTGTTTTCTAATGAAAGTTTCATTTGAAGTTTGTTTACAGGAAAGAAGAAATTAGCAGAGAGAATTCTCCTGAGAACGCAGAGAGGAAAAGAATGAGCTGCCTGACTTGCAAGCCAAAAGAGGGTGGAAGGGTAGATTAGATTTACCGTATTGCTCCGAGTCAGAGCTGTTGCTGCTGTGGAGAAACGCTTCCTTGTTTGGCTGGATGGTGGAAGCGCTTTGAGGCTCAGCCTTCAGCCAGGGTGTTGGCATCCAGGGGAGACTCAGAGCTGCCCACCCAGCCAGAGATGTTGATCCCACTCTGGTGTCCCATATTTTGATGCTGGGACATGAGTGGTGCTCCTGGGCCGTGGCTGCAGAGCTGGTGCTCTGGGTGTCACTGCTGGGGACTCAGGTCCTTGGCATTGTCCTGGCATGACGGGGACATGAGGAGGTCCAAGTGCTGAGCCTTTGGTCTCCAAGGTGTGTCCTGAGGAGGGAGCTTGCTGGTGGCTTCGTGTCCCACTGAGGGATGCAGCAGAGGATGCCAGAGCTGTGCTCGAGGTCAGGGCCTTTCTCTTGCTTTCGGGAAGAGGCACAAAGGTGTGAGGGGCTCCTGGAGCACCATGGCATGGGCAGAGCTGCTGGCTCTGGCTGTTCCCTGCTGCTGGAAGGGTTCACCCACTGCCTGCATGGTTGCTCGGCATCCCCTTGGGATGGGCTGTGCTGCGGGAGCTGGGTGCTGCTGGGAGGTTTGTTCTGTTGGCGGTCGGGCTGAGGGGATCAGTGCTGGAAAACGGAAAACCCTGGCTGGGAAGCAGGGGTGACAGTGGGGATGTGGGGATGGGGCCGCCCGGCAGGGTCCCACCATAACCACCTCCTCTCTGCTGGTGGCTGGGTCCTGCACTGGTGGCTGTGCCACAGCTGTGTTTGACTCGAGTCATTTATTGCTTCTCAGTCTGTGGTTTGATAGGCAGAGGATTTCTAATAGTGGGTGAATGTTGTACCTCGAGAGGAGGCAGCACCTTTGTGAAGCGCTCTGCTCAGTGTGCGCATGTGAGGTGGCCTTCCTGGCCCTACCACCGCTCCTGAGCACATGGGGACCTGCCTGCCTCCCAGGCTCTGCCCTGGGTGCTGAGGCTGTAACTGAGCCCTGCAGACTGTGCCGAGCCAGGCGCTTCCTGCAAGCATCACAGGTTGCTCCCGAGCTCCTCCTCCTCGCACAGGTGAGAGCTGTGGGCAGCAAGGGCCTTGGCATTTGCATTTGTCTCCTAAGCTCTGACAGTAATCTTGAGTAAGCCTTGTGAAGAAGGCCAGATATTAGGGTGGCTGCCTCCCTGCAAATGCTTACAATAAAGAGACTATTTATAGTGTGCAACGGGGAGACCTTTGCAGCTCTGCTCCTCTCTCTGCAAGATGGAGAGGCAGGACTGCTTCGTGGCTGCGGTGCCACCGGTGCTGTGCTGAGCTGGGGACACCGCGGTTCCCCCCAGCCCTCGTGCCCTGCTCGCCCTGGGCTGGGTGTGGGTGTCCCCATTGCCTTGGTGGGCACCCATGGGGTGGCTGAGCCCCGGCCGTCGCCCGTCCCTCCATCCGCTGCTGCGAGCGGGGCTTCCCAAGCCGTACATTCCAGGAAGCTCCCCGGGAGGCACAGGGAGGGAGCGGGCTGGGGGCGGGAGCCTGCGGATGGCTTCAGGGATGGGGAGCGGGGGGCGAAGCACAAACCCGGCTCTCAAACACGGTTATAGGTTCACAATAGGGGTGGCAGGCAGCGGCGGGCGGCCGGGCACTGAGTGAGGAGCAGGCGAAGGCTGGGGGGGTGCTTGCCAGTTGCCTCTTCCATGGAAAGGGAGCGGAGATTGGGTTTTATCTCAGGACCAGGGGGAGGGAAGAGGAATTAGAAGAGCAGAGGCTTTGCAAGCCTTTGAAATGCTTCAATCAAAGGGGAGCGTGGTTGAAAGCGGTTCTGGAAGCGGTTTTGGTGCTCCCCTGCACCCCAGGGCTTGGGATGCGGTCACTGCTGTGGGAGGGGAGGCGGATAAAGGGATCAGCAGCAGGCCCGTGTTCATTGGGGAACATGGCTCTGCTTCCTCCCGTGTTGGGAGCTGCGGCCGGGGAGGTCCTGCGGCCCCTCCTCTCATTCAGGAGCTCAGTGCTGCCTTTCTGGTGATGGTTCTGAAATCCTGTGGCTGACCTTTCCGGCGCTGGAAGCAGTCCAAGGGCTGTGTCTCCAAGTACTGTAAAGGTTAGCGAGGAGGGAGAGAGAAAACGTCCTTTCAGCTGCAGGAGTGGGAGAGAGGAATGTCATCTATGCTGCCGGGGAGCAGGCGCTGCTCCAGGCTGGGTGTCCTTGCCTCGCCAGGGACCTCACTCCCCCGGCTGCTTCCCAAGGTGTGTGTTGTCATTGTGGTGTGGGTACAGAGGCGATATCCCTTTGGAGAGGGCTGGAGGAGCAGTCTCTTGGGGCTGGGGCTGGGGCTGTCTCTGCTCTGCAGCATTGGGCAGTGCAGGTCTATGGGGATGGGTGCTGCTCTCTGGATCTGCCCCATCGGCCTCTCCCTGCTGGTGCCGATCCTCTGGGAATTCCCATTGCAGCGCTGATGTGATCTCAGAAAAGTCCGAGGTGTTTTATGGAGCCGTTTCAATGGAGTTGTCCCCATGCTCAGTTCCCCCACGCCGCTGCCTCGCCAGCACCAAGCTGGGTGGAGGGAGATTAAAGGGTAAACTCCAGGGCTCAGCCATCCGCTCCTACAGGATGCGAGCTCTTTCTAATTGTCCTCAATTAGAGACAGTGCCATTGCTCAGGCACGTCTTCAGGCAGGAAGCAGAGCCTGTCCCAGCCACCTCAGGGAAGGGCTGTGTGGCCATGGGGAGCGCCGAGGGGCCAGCAAGTGATGCTGGGGGCCGGAGCTGCCCGACAGATTGGTGTTAGGAAGGAGCTGGGTGAGGAGATGTTAAAGGCAGAGAAGGGAGGATGAAATCAGCTCGGTTTGTTAACCCTTTGCTGCTTGCCTCCAGGATGAGACATCGGTGAGCAGCGAGGACTTTGATATGAACGACTCCACATGGATCTCAGCTGACCAGCACCTGAACTCCAGCCTGAGCCCCAGCCAGGACGAGAGCATGCGCAGCCCGCAGAACCTGCCCGGCCATGAGGACGGTGAGTGCCGGGGCGGGCGGGCAGCGCCTCCGCTGCAGGATGCTTTGTGGCCTATTAAACATTAACCAGTCCTTTCTGATCAGGTGTCCCACCTGCAGGATGGATTTCAGATCCCTGCAGGCTTCGAAGCAGCGCCCGCTCCCAGTCCTTCCCATATAGCCCCTGGGTTCCTGCTCAGCCAGGAATAGTATGGGTTCCATACTATGCCCCTGGGTTCCTGCTCAGCCAGGAATAGTATGGGTTCCATACTATGCCCCTGGGTTCCTGCTCAGCCAGGATAGTACAGGTTCCATACTATGCCCCTGGGTTCCTGCTCAGCCAGGAATAGTATGGGTTCCATACTATGCCCCTGGGTTCCTGCTCAGCCAGGAATAGTACAGGTTCCATACTATGCCCCTGGGTTCCTGCTCAGCCAGGGCCCTCCCCAGCTCCGAGCTGATGGTCCTTGTGCAGGGAGCCGGCTCCCAGCTCCTGCAGAAAGGTCACCAAATCCCCTCCTAAGGCATCAGGTTGTAGTTCCCTGGGTTCCCTGTTAGTCCTGGGCTGTGGGTGCTGACCTGCAGCAGGAAAGATGCCAAGGCTGCACAGTGCAGGTCACAGCTTTCTGTGCTTGGAAAGCTGCTCCTTAGACAATGCCTTGGATCCCCCAGGCAGGAAATGTGTGCTCTGCAATAGCCAACAGTGATGGGAGCGCGGGGTGGATGCGGGTGTCCCCTGTCCGAGGGCAGGCGGTTGGAAGGGGAGAAGGGGGCACACGTGGGCTGGCTGGGAGGCAGGGTCTGGTGACGAGGGGTGCTGTGCTGCTCCTGGGAAACTGCTAGCTGAAAGCAAAAGAGCGAGTAAATAAATGGTAGAAGGAGGGGTTGGGGTCAGGGTTCACCTCCGTGATGCTTGGAAGGATTCGGTGCTTGGGCTGTTACCGGCTTCTGCTCCAGAGGTTGAATCCCCCCTTGTCCCCAGCCTGGTGCTGCTGAGGGAACGGGAAGGGAGCGGTGGAGCTGAGGGACAAATGGGGCTGGGTCAGTGCTGCTTTAAGACCGGGGACTGGAAAACCACCCCAAGGGACATAAAGGGCTTTTGTGCTGGCAGGTCTCCCTGGGGTGGCTTTTGGCTGCTTGTGGCCGGCAGCAGGGCAGCAGGGACAGCAGGGACCCTGCTCTGCTCAGCCCGGTGCCTCGTGGCCCTGCAGCCTGTGTTGGAGGAGCTGCTGGGTTCAGCAGCAGCCTCGGGGGGATGTGAAACCTGCCTGCGCTGCACCCAGGGGCACTTCTGCTTGTGAGGGCCCCGCCGTGGGGCCGTGCCCGGGGCAGGAGGCTCTGGTGGGAGCCCAGCTCCCCCATCAGCACCGTTGGGCTCTTGGGGACCAGGCTGCAGGCTCTGCCCTGAGCGAGAGCCGCCTCATCTCATACCCACGGCCTGGCTGGGTCTCAGTGGCCCCTGAACTTCACCCTTCTCCCATTGGGATGCTTCAGGCTTGTGCCTTATCCCTGACCACCGAATTCCCAGGTCTCGTTTACTATCGACAGTGACACAGTTTTCATCCCTCTGCTGAGCACTGTTACTCCACAGGACAGTAACTTAATGAGGGACTTGCGTGTTTAGGCAAATGAAGATGTTCTCTCAGTCCCCTCTCTCTGCCCTCTTAGGAAATGCTTCCAGTTTCTCCTGCCCTGTGGTTTCTCTTCAGGTGTCCTCTTCGGGGCCCTTCTTGGCTCCTTTAATTTCTTCTGTAAGGTTCAGTGGTGAGCAACAAAGCATGAATAGTCCCTTGCTTTATGTGAGGAGTGCCAGTGTCCCAGGCTGTCCCCAGGGCTGGCAGCAGCGTAACTGGGTGGGCTTTGGCAGACCAGAGGTGATGGAGCCCAGGGTTACTGACAAGATCCACCATGAAGAAACCAGGGAGTGGGATTTCCATCAGGCCCTCCCACTTCAGGAGGGACTGAGGAGAGGTTCTGTCACTGTGGTGAATGTCCATGTCCTCTACTGGAGCTTGGAGATGCTTTGGTTTCCTTTTCTCTCCGCCCATAAAAGCTCTTTTTTCTGGAAGCAGATGTGTTTTACTGGGCTCACCCTGGCTTAAAGGCCATGCACGGGCCAGACTTCCCTAAGGAAACCATCGAAACCAGCCTGTGGGACCTGTGTGCCCATGGAGCCCAACTGTGCAGAGGGCTCAATGTGCTCCCTGCCAGAACAGGACATGTGTCCACATCTCCTGCTCTCGCCTGCCCACTGTGCCCTGCAGCAGCCCCACAGAGCCCCAGCCTCCTGCCACCGGCAGCGAGCCCCCGCAGCCAGGCTCGGCTCCAGGCAGCCCAGCACTGTGGAGGGGTCACACATCACCTCCTTTGCATCAGGACTCGGTGCTCTCCATCCTCTGGAAATCCTCTGGCGTTGCTGCACTGCTGCTGCCTGACGGGTGGGATGCTCGGAGTGTGTCTGCAGTGTAAGACACCGTATAAAGTATAAAGTTTTAATGAAGAGCTGCCCTGTAGGGGAGCAGGATCGTCTGACAGGCTTGTTAAAAAGGTCTTGTTTAAAGTACCGAGGCACCAGCTCCAGGTCTGTCAGAGGAGGAGCCAGTGCTCTCCTATAGCATGTGAGTGGAGTGGTGTGAAACCCAGAGAGGCAGGAGAGCAGGGAACATCACCCCATGCTTTGATACACAGGTACCTGCTGAATCTCCAGAGCTAAAAAGCAGCTGGAATGGAAGCCAATACCTTAATACCTTGTTCTGTCCCCTTGTCCATAAGCTTTGGCCCAGGATGGCCACACTGCAGCCAGCGTCAGCCCTTGGAGCAGCAGGGAGAGCAGATGAGACCTAATGGCTTTGGTGGTTAAGGGACAGAGATGGCACCACCGCAGAGCACCGGCAGCAGAGCCGGGTTCCCGCTGGGATGGCGGGTGCATGGCGGGTGCATGGCAGGTGCATGGCGGGTGCATGGTGGGTGCAGGACACCCCGGCCAGCTCTGAGCACACGCTCGCTCCTTCCACTTTCCTTTGTTACTCGTCCTGTGGCCCAGCACGGAAAACGTGCAGCTCCTGCAACATCCCGTCCCCATCGGATGTTGCTCACAGCGCCCAGGCCCGCAGGAAGCCGGCGCCTACCCAAAGCGACAGCAGGATCAACACGAGCCCTTTGCTGCTCGAGTGGAGCTATTGTGCAGGACATCCTGGAGGGCCACGTCTGCAGGAGCCAGCACGCAGCCCCAGCAGATGAACTGGAGTTCATGAACTGGAGCAGATGATGGAGTGCTGCTCCATCTCGCTGTCCCCTGTGCCTGTCACTGCCCCTGGGGGTGTCCTGTGCCCGCTCCCACCTGAGCGTTGGTCCTGCTGATAGGATGCAACTTGCCTCATCCCTGGCCATGCCTCCAGCTCCATCACCCAGGAGCGGTGCTCAGCCTGTGGACAGGGGTTGCTGCTCTCAGCCCGTTCTGCCCCATCCTCCTAAAGAGCTGCGTACTCCCCAGTGTAAGCTTTGCTTTCCCTGCATGGGGGGCATGGGATTGCTGCATGGCACCATGTTGGGACAGGTCCCTTCCAGCTGAGTCCCTGCATGTGGCCCTCACTTGACTGGCAGCATCCTGCTGAGCCCTTCTGCCTGGAACAGCAGTGGCTAATCCAGACCTTGGAGAAAGGACTTTCTTAACCTACTTAACTGTGCAGGCACACGCTCCTCGGGGGCATCCCTTGGGGCAGCTGCTTGGGAAGGCTCTGACTGTTGGGGATGTCCCTCAGGAGCGCTCCAAGGACACAGAGGCAGGCGTTCTCAGGATGCTGTCCTGGGAGCAGGTAGAACACATCACCCCCTGCCCTGGGGACACAGGGACAGCACGGAGCCGTCCCCAGCACAGTGTCCTCTCTCTGGCATGGCTCGTGTCCTGCAGCTCTGGGTCACAGCCCCGTTACTCGGTGGGATGCTCACGATGTGCTGCACATCCCCTGCTTTACCCAGGCTGCAGCATCCTCCCTGCTCCACAGTGCTTCAGGGCTTCTGACACCACCACTGGATTTCCCTGGCCCAGACCCCCCCGACAAGTCACAGACCGGCATCCAGGCCTTGCAACAGCTACGGGTGACCTTATCTTGTTTTGCTTAGCTCTGTATTTCTCCTCTCTGCGGGTGCCCCCCCACTGTGCTGTCCCCACACGAGCCAGCGGGCGCGTCCTTGCCTTGCCTGTGCACCCGGGGCCGGTGGCTCCGTTCCCTGCCGCCTCTTCAGGGGCACATCTGCTCCTCCCGAGCAAAGGCCTTGGCCGCTGATAAACACCCTCCTCTTGGCGCCGTCTGCGGAGCTGCAGGGTGAGAGGCGCAGCACGGGCCCAGGGATGCGGTGTCTGATGCTCTGAATGGGGCTTGGGCCCCCCTTGGCTCAGGTTCGGGGGGGCTCTTCCTTAGCCTGGGGCAGAGAGGATCACGGGCAGCCGGTGCCTGTGCCCCCGCTTTCCTCCCCACATCAAGCACCCCCACCTAAAGCAGAGAGCAGGGTGAGCCCCGCAGCGGGTCCCTTCCCTGGGGGGGCTGCAGAGCCCCAGTGCCTTGGGGACGGAACGGCCCTGCCCTGCCCGAAGGAGCGGTGGGCAGCAGGGTGTCCCTGGCGGCAGGTCCGTGCTGCAGGCACCCGCTCCGTGCGCATCCTGCCCAAAGCCACCAAACCCGTTTGCTTGGCGTGGGGAGCGGCAGTGCCCGGGCAGCGGCGGGTCCCCTCCCTGCGGCAGGATCCGGGTGGCTGCCGGCGGCGGTGGCACAAGGAGGGGCTTGCTCTGCACCTTGTCCTTCCTCACCGAGGTGGGGGCCAGGTCCTGGCTGGAGCAGCCCTGCAGCAGCGCGGTGGCCAGGGCAGCGGTGGCAGGAGGGACGGGGCCAGCCCAGTGACCGCGTGTTGGTGGCAGGGCTGGTTCTGCAGCGGGGCTGCTGAGCTTTGGTGCCCATTGCGGGGCTGCGGTGCGGGAGCTGCTGCTGCTCCCTGGGGCTGGGCAGCGGCGCTGGGGGGAGACGG